GAACTGTAGTTGGAAGCAGAAAGTTATGACTTGGCTTGGTCTAAGTCGGAAAAATGCAAAGTATATATTTAAGAATTCATTTTAAAAAGGTTTTTAACATTTTTGCATATTACACATCACTATTTCCTTCTCATCCTTCACTTGCGTTTAAATTTTTTTTAAATTGTGAACTCAGCTGAAGCTTTGTCTTCAGATTGAAAAAGCATCGATATGCGCAAGACGATGTAGAAGCTGATGCCGTATCACCTTTATTTACTAGAAAATCTGTGATAGAAGCCGAAACATCTGAAGATCAACGTTCATTGACTTCCATCACTGAGTCATACTCTCGAATCAGGTTAGCTTCGTGAAGTTGCGTTCTTAAATGCTAAAATTTGAGTTCAGTAAGAGTCAATTTGAAAAATTGGCTTTATTTTCAGATCATGTGTGCAAATGCTAATTCATATTAGGTTTCTATGCTTAATTACACTACTAAGCTATTTCAATTAGCATAATTTCTGTTTATTAATTTGAACTCAAAATTTTTGTTTTACTGAAATTACAAACGGTTGTTTATTCTCAATTTAATCGTTTTTTGATAAATTTATCTTTTTCTCATGGCTTTTTATCAGTAGTCAGTAAATACCACTGATGTAATTAGCGAATTTTGCTGCTTTTGGATGCTGTCAAGATTTCTGCTCCACAGATAAAGCTTTCAGATTTGCCTACTTTTGTTAGCTTTTTAAGTTTCCTAGAATCCTGAATGATTTTCAGCCCTTCTTCTCATTATTACACTTCTGCACCCGATGAAATTCACATAATCAGTTCATCGATGAAAAACAATAAGATGATACAGGAAAGTGGAAGTTCACACAAGAGTAAAAGTAATTCAGTAGCAAGTCAAAAGTAAGAATGATCTTAGTCTCGCTATTGATGTAAATAATTATACTGCTCATCATTTATTCATTCGATTGTTTATTTACTTTTATACCTATTTATATTATTGTATTACTTTGTATCTACTTGATTATTTAATTTTTCTTTCATTTATTTATTTGCATAATTAATAGTATTCAGTGGAAGCATGTAAACTTTTTCACAGTGATGCTTTGTATATCTAACTTTCAGAATATTATTACTTAATTTACAACAGACCTTAGAATACAAAAACTTGTTAGTGTTTTAGTTTGCATCAGAAAAGATTTTATGCAAAAGCTCTATCAACCAATTACGTGGATAAAGCGCAAAATTCACAATCGTTAACAATTATAATTCTTGATTAGCCTTTATTTGATAACTTTTGTATTCAGCTGACTCTTCTTGAGCAATACTAGATTAATTCTCAATAATAGTTTTGAGCCCTCTCAGTTTCTTTAAAAAACTTCACTTTTTTTTAAAAAACAAAAAATTTAACATGACTTTTATTTTTATTAAAGAATTCAAAAAAAAAAGTGTCACATTTAGAAAATATTAAAATCTTCAGAAATTATTTATTATGCTATCACTAAATAGTCTTCTAATTCTGAATTATTTTTAGCTCTACATCGCAAATTCAGACAGCCGCAAAGTCTAAACAGTCTTCTCAGAAAGCAACAATTGAAGTTCATGAAACATCAGTAAGGCGGTCAATTTCAATGGTGGAATCATCTGAACAAAATAATTACAGGTAATAAGGGAAGCTGGATTTAAACGAGAAAACCGAATATATTTCACAGCATTTTAAAAAAACATCATATAACTTCATATCAGATATAGAAAATTTAAAGGCTTAGCACAATAATTATTAATTTTTGGCAAGAATTATTTCATAAAAAATAGATGAGAAAATTAAAAATCTTTGACAATAAAAAAATCCGTGAAGTTTAATTGAATTATGCAAATTTGATAGTTGTAGATTATCAGGCAATTCGGTACAACCCAATGATGAAGTCAAACGTGATAAGGCACAACAACAGTTAAAATTAACTGTATCATCCAACAGCGAAACTTTACAGTCTAATGAAGCAAAAGTAGATAATCCAAATTATAAATCATTTGCTTTAACGGATCCACGCTTATTTTATGCTAACCCATACAGCAGGTAATAATGCCTTTCGGTACCAATTTAAATTAAATGTTTTGCGTAATTTTTACAGCATACAGTAAATTATACGTCAAGTAAGTGATTGAAAAATGTATTGCTAATCGACTGAATCAGTGATTGTTACTTTTTTAGTTATGCAGGTGCTATGATGTCACCATTGATGGAAATGCAAACACTTTCGCCAGTAATATATTCCGAAGACAATTTGGAAGGCAAAAAAGAATCTGAAAAAATTACTGAGAAAACAACAGTTTTGGCAGAATCTACAGGGTTTGTGATAATAAAATTTAATGCTTTTAATCATATGTTTTTTAAAAATTTCATACAGAACTTTTTATTTTCAAACATTGAATGCCATTAGGAGATATTATTCATTTTTAACGATTTTAGCACACAAACTTTACTGGTTACTTGTGAATGGTTATTAAGTATGAATTATAGAGCAGAGGATATGAGATCTAAATTGAAATACTGTATGAAAATTTTTTTCAAATGTTGTCATTGCCTGATTTATATTATGCAGCTTATTTAAGAAATATTGTTTATTTCTTAATAACCACTTTTTCTGTAACACTTGGTAAATGACCAGTGGACACAAAGATGACTTCTAGCATGTTCTTTTATTAAACATTAGAAATTGCAGTCTTCCAAAAGTAAAAAATTAATAAATAACCAGTAATAAGTACTCATTTTATGATTTGAAATAGTTACTTTCTGACTTTTTGCTAGGATTAGTCAAAGACATTTTTATGGAATAAAAGTTTCCAGAGTTAATTTAATAAAATTTTTGGGAAGCATGGATGGAGTCAAACGTGTCATGAAGAACGCCAACAAAATACGCCAAAGTTTAGAGCGAAAGCGAAAAAAACAGCTGAAGAAGATGTCGTTCTACAAATGGAACCTATTGGTGAAAATGTTGTTGTCCATCTTCAATCACCTGTTCCAACTCAAAAATCAACGATTCTTTCAGTGAACCGAAAAACCTCTCTTAAACAAGTAGATGGAAAATTAATTTCAAGTGTAGCTACATCACCCTCTAAATCAGCTACGGAAAAAACCGCTATTTTTCTGCGTGATGCAAACTCACATGAAGCTGAAGACCGACATTATGTGTTAAGTGATTCAGAATCTAAAGTACTCGTTGTTGGAGCTGAACCGAGATCATATCATACTGATACCGAGTGCGCGTCTACTTCTTGCAGAAAACATTTACCTCTAGTAAGAATTTTTAATGATTCGGTATTTAATTTTTGAAAAATTTAAGAAGATTCAAAAAATTTGATTGCTCATCCTGTATTCATTCATTTTTATAGATTAAATTACAGCGAGCTAATCCGATTTATCACGCAGTTCCATACTATGCACGTGCGTTAGACACGTCTGATACTGGAATAGTGAATCAAGTTTCTTCTCAAAAGCAGAAAAAAGTAGGAAACAATTAAGGCTATATTTTTATAACATAATTAACTGCAAAGTTCTGTAACTATTTAAAATAAGATTCTTAACTCTGTTGAAGTCAAAAAATTTTCAAATTTTCCTCCTTTCTCAATCTTACTTTTGCTTCCTTACAGCAGACTTCATCCGCTTATGAGTAAGTCTGATTAGTGTGAGCCAATATTAAAAGAATCTATATTATTCTGTGTCGGTTTAGTTTTAATTAATAAGCTAATGACTTAAAAAATAAGGTACACGCGATTGAATTCGTTGTGATCAACAAAAATAAAAAATTTATTCTGAGCTTATACTAGCTTTATTTTGAATTCCTAGTGCATATTTGTAATACAGAAGTAATATTCATCAATTAAAGGTAAGTAGTCAAATTGATGGTGCACTACAAAATTTTTTGCTACGAGTAAGCATCAGTGAAGATCGTTCTGGTGGCTATGCATACTATCATAGACCATCACAACAAATTGGATCAGTTGATGTAATACAAACTTCTATGGGCAATGGTCAGCAAAAACCTATTATTGTCCAACAAAAGCAGCGGTCATTATCTCCTAATAAAACAGCTCAGTCTTACCGCAAGCATACTTTTGTGTAAACGTGTCAACAACATTATTAGATATGCATTATGCAAGCAAAAAATACTGAAAAATATTGATAACGAAAAAATCAGTTCAGATTTAGTTATTTTGTTAGCAAAAATAGTATATGACAAGTAAGAATTTCAGAGGTAGATTTCAGATTTATCTCTTTCTTATAATTTATTTAATTAAATTATCATAACTGTGGGAAATACAGGTTCAATGCTGCTAAAATCATTATTTTAGTTCGTAGAAAACTTAATGCGAACACTCACTCCATCATAATTTTCAAGCTTGAAAAAATGTTTATAATTAGGTCAGGGCATGTTTAATTTGGTGTTTCCACACGTTTGGATTCTTATAAATTATTAATCGATAAAATTAGACATATTCAAAAAAGCAATGAAATTAACAACTTTGTCAAACATGCTCGTTATCAGTAAAGTTCCAATACTTAACAGAATGAAAAAAACAATAATTAAAAAGAAATCAGTTTGAGAGTTTATTTTATGCTACTGAATATAGTCAGTCATTAGTGCTCACAAAATGTCTTCATAAGTGCCTGAAGCAATTGCAGAAATGTCAAACGTTAATCTGTGCAATTCTTGGAATCATTCATTTCATTCCAATTAATTCATTACATACTGAAATTGAGTACTGTTTCTGACAAGAATGGTGGTACAATTGTCGTGCTTTTTACCGAATGTACTGATAATTCTGAGATTTAAAGTGATTTAGTGATACATTTGTACTGTTTAATATTTATTGTCCTGTTTGTATGAATATTGTTGCTTTGTTGTTGACTCTTGTTACTGTTTCTTTACAGATTACATATTTTGTTCACT